ACGCTGGTGGTCTAGTGTGACGTCTAGTGGCAGTGACAATCGTTTACAGAACTTTTAAAACAGTAGTTCTCAAACTTTTTCATATGAAGGACCCCAAAACTGAAACAAATTCAGCTTATCAAATGGTGACCACACCATTTGATAAGCCTTTGTCCTAGGGTCCCCCATCTGGTAATATTTTTGCTTTTATATGTTTTATAACAGAAAGTGTTTGAAACCCGTGACCAAAATAATCATAGGCCTACATTCTGTCATTGTGTTACATAGGGATGGAATGATAGTGAAAATAAATAACTCTAAGTCAGTGACTCCTTTACAAAGGAGCTACACAAGAGTATAACTGTACTTAACAGCCTCTTGTGAGGAGCATTGCGATATGTATAGAAGTTCAGAATAACACCAGAAACAGACAGCAGCATCTAAGTGGTATACCACCTAATAGAAGGACGAGACACATTAAATGGGTGAATGTCTCTTCCCCTCTACCCCTCAGTACCAAGTAAAACAGAATGATTTTCAGCTGTGTGTTTGTAACTTCTTAAGCACTACAGTGTCAAGTATCTCACAGCATTAACTATTTTAAAACTCATAGGAATGTTGTTCAAATTTTGAGGAAGTAAATCCTTTAACGGTCTACGTGTCGGACTCATTTTTGGCACAGGAACAATCAGCAGCACATCACTGGCACAAAACTTGGTCTCATCATTGTTGAACAACACTACTGGTACTGTTGAAGTCTAAGTACATGTTAGCTGCTCTCACCTTCTCCAGCAAGCTGACTGCAAGTCCTGTGCAGCTGTGACCAAATGTTAAACAGTCTGTAAACTCACATGAACTGAGCTGTTGCTTATCATTTCATCAGTTAAACAGTACTGTGTGGAGGGACTTTGACCCTGTCTGGTGGAGTGGAAATGTCTTCATATATTCTGAATGCTGTGTTGTGCAGAACATGTGACACTGAAGGGAAGTGAACAAGTCCACCCAGTGCAGGAGTGGACTAAACCATTTACACCACGGGGGTAGGGAATTTAGCTCTGATATTGTTTTAGATACAGAAAATGGTCAGTCAAACTATTTATGCTGCCAACAGTAACAGTTGACTGTGCCAAAACTGTCAATTTTGAAATAACAGGTAAAAAAACCCAATGCTTTAATTCCGGGATTTGTGAGGGCCCCCCTCCCTGTGTTGGGGCCCTGGTAACTTAGTTACACGCCCCTACCTGCCCTTCTGCTCCTGAGGAATAGATGCTGGGTAAAACAGGCCGCCTAGTGGCCAGAAGACTTATATACTTACATATCATGACACATCTTTTTGAATGCATTATATTATAGTTATTGTATTTCATTTTCTACCACACAACAATTTTGTTTTTCAGGACTCCTGTGATTGAGGGACGCTTTGCCACGTATATAACTGAATTTTCTGCAGTTTGTTTCAGGTAGAGCTCAATAACTCTTTCATTGCACATATTGTATGAGTATGACCCATTTAATGTTTGAACATATCCTGAAAACAAGCTAATCTTCTGTAAGGTATTTCATGGAACTTTATTTCAAAGTATCAAGTTGGAAACATTGTTACTACTACAATCTGTTACAGTAAAATGAGTCAGAGCATGACATCACAAGGTACCAAATATGGCAATAAGTGACAAATATCTGGTCAAATAAATAAATTGTCCTGTCTTGTTTTTAGGGGCAGGTACATGCGGTCAAACTGGGTGAAGATTGCCTTGCGGGCTCCTAGCGCACTTTAATGTAGCATTCCATTTCTCTCCAGATGATGAGTGAAAATGGCACTTAGAGCTCCATCCATCTATCCATCCATCCATTCATCCATCCATCCATCCATCCATACATCCATCCACACCATCCAAATTACTTCCTCCAGCTCCTGATCATCCCGAGGTGTTCCCAGGCCAGATAGGAAATGTTACTCCTCCTTGCATGTTCAGTCTCTGCCCTATGCATAGATTACCTCCACAGGGAGGCATCCAGCCCAAACCAACTCTACCAGCTCCTGTCAGCACAAAGGAGGGGCAGTTCTATTTTGAGCTTCTTCCAGAGGTTTCAACCTGTCATCCAGTCACTTATGTGCAGCGTGCACTGGAGTTGACAATATGTTTTCAGTTGGTGATGTTTGAGCTACGTTTATTTGCACAGATGTGGAAAGAGTACAGTCCATCAGACAGGTCAGTGCAGTCAAAGAAAACATGCATGAGAGGATCTAAGGGCGCACGTAAGGGAGGAGTGAGATAATGGCTCAGAAAAAAGGACAGAAGAATAACATGGACAGAGAGGGGTAGACTTTTCCCAGCATAATGGAAATTTCCACTACTGTGTCTGTCAGAGAAATGTGATGTTCAGTACAGTAGGTTTACTATTTTAATAATACATACAGAAAATAACACAGTGTTTAATTTTTGTTGGATTGCCATTATTAAGGAGAGCATGATTTAACAGTTTAACTATAATACTATAAATAAATGAATTTAAAATCTTTCACATTATTTCCCCTTTCCTTAAAGAACCCCTGACTTGACTCCAAACAGCAAAACAGGGATCATCCTATAAATGAGTGAATCGGGAAAATATTTTTTACTGATCTGTGCAAATCTATCAGTTTTCACCAAAGGAGTCTAAATTATTATTATTTCAATTAGGTTTAAAATTTCAGTATATATTCTCTCTCTGAAATTGCAGTGCTCGCTCAGTCCACTGATTGCTCAGCATGGAAAAGTTCATGGAAAATTTTCAGATCTCCCAGTGGCCAATAAGCGCTTTCATCAGCTCAAAGTAAGGGCATGTTGTTAAAGCAACACTTCCTTTAACAGGTTGTTAGGGATGATCTTTGTCTTACAGGAGGTTCCATGTTGAGGATCAGAAGGGCTCATTTTTTGTTTGTCACTAATTTTTATCACTAGCCAGCTCACTGAGACAGTGACGACATTGTACTAATATAGAAATGACTGCTGCCTGCTGTATGTAGTAAGTCTTTGGAAAAGAAAAATCCAAGGAAGTCTTAGTATAAAAAAATGGCTGACACCAACACATTTTGGCTAAAAGGTTTCCAATAATAGAATAATATGCATACTAGTGACCATTAATGAAACAAAAAAGACCAAGTTATTTGGAGGATTCATTGTAAATACAGCTACAGGTGCTGGTCAATAAATTAGAATATCATCAAAAAGTTGATTTATTTCAGTAATTCCATTCAAAAAGTGAAACTTGTATATTATATTCATTCATTACACACAGACTGATATATTTCAAGTGTTTATTTCTTTTAATTTTGATGATTTTAACTGACAACTAATGAAAACCCCAAATTCAGTATCTCAGAAAATTAGAATATTGTGAAAAGGTTCAATATTGAAGACACCAGGTGCCACACTCTAATCAGCTAATTAACTCAAAACACCTGCAAAGGCCTTTAAATGGTCTCTCAGTCTAGTTCTGTAGGCTACACAATCATGGGGAAGACTGCTGACTTGACAGTTGTCCAAAAGATGACCATTGACGCCTTGCACAAGGAGGGCAAGACACAAAAGGTCATTGCTAAAGAGGCTGGCTGTTCACAGAGCTCTGTGTCCAAGCACATTAATAGAGAGGCGAAGGGAAGGAAAAGATGTGGTAGAAAAAAGTGTACAAGCAATAGGGATAACCGCACCCTGGAGAGGATTGTGAAACAAAACCCATTCAAAAATGTGGGGGAGATTCACAAAGAGTGGACTGCAGCTGGAGTCAGTGCTTCAAGAACCACCACGCACAGACGTATGCAAGACATGGGTTTCAGCTGTCGCATTCCTTGTGTCAAGCCACTCTTGAACAAGAGACAGCGTCAGAAGTGTCTCGCCTGGGCTAAAGACAAAAAGGACTGGACTGCTGCTGAGTGGTCCAAAGTTATGTTCTCTGATGAATATGAAATTTTGCATTTCCTTTGGAAATCAAGGTCCCAGAGTCTGGAGGAAGAGAGGAGAGGCACAGAATCCACGTTGCTTGAGGTCCAGTGTAAAGTTTCCACAGTCAGTGATGGTTTGGGGAGCCATGTTGTCTGCTGGTGTTAGTCCACTGTGTTTTCTGAGGTCCAAGGTCAACGCAGCCGTCTACCAGGAAGTTTTAGAGCACTTCATGCTTCCTGCTGCTGACCAACTTTATGGAGATGCAGATTTCATTTTCCAACAGGACTTGGCACCTGCACAAAGTGCCAAAGCTACCAGTACCTGGTTTAAGGACCATGGTATCCCTGTTCTTAATTGGCCAGCAAACTTGCCTGACCTTAACCCCATAGAAAATCTATGGGGTATTGTGAAGAGGAAGATGTGATACGCCAGACCCAACAATGCAGAAGAGCTGAAGGCCACTATCAGAGCAACCTGGGCTCTCATAACACCTGAGCAGTGCCACAGACTGATCGACTGATCGCCACGCCGCATTGCTGCAGTAATTCAGGCAAAAGGAGCCCCGACTAAGTATTGAGTGCTGTACATGCTCATACTTTTCATGTTCATACTTTTCAGTTGGCCAACATTTCTAAAAATCCTTTTTTTTGTATTGGTCTTAAGTAATATTCTAATTTTCTGAGATACTGAATTTGGGATTTTCATTAGATGTCAGTTATAATCATCAAAATGAAAAGAAATAAACATTTGAAATATATCAGTCTGTGTGTAATGAATGAATATAATATACAAGTTTCACTTTTTGAATGGAATTACTGAAATAAATCAACTTTTTGATGATATTCTAATTTATTGACCAACACCTGTAGCTGTATTTACAATGAATCCTCCAAATAACTTGGTCTTTTTTGTTTCATTAATGGTCACTAGTATGCATATTATTCTATTATTGGAAACCTTTTAGCCAAAATGTGTTGGTGTCAGCCATTTTTTTTATACTAAGACTTCCTTGGATTTTTCTTTTCCAAAGACTCTAGGTATTCAATTTCAATGTTGACATTCCAATAAAGCTGGACACAAGGAGAAACTCAGATGAGATAATGGTTTATTCACACCGGAAAAATATTCTATATTCATGGTGACTTAAAGTTAAATAGGACATGAATACGCCTGGTTAGCTTAGTTGTTAACTATCCAGTAAATCTCAACAGACACAGAACATAGAAATGACAAAATAATAAGAGACACATTTAGCTACTACCCCTAGTGCAGGGGGAACGTACTGTAAGAATGTGGAGGTCAGGAACGTTTGTGGGCGAACAAAAGTGTGTGACTGTGACACTGAAAACCCTGTTTTGCATTTTTCTCATACATCGGGTGATTGTTTATTTTTTTCAGTATTTAGCTATAACTGAGATACTGAAGTTTAAACATTTAAATAAATTAACCAAAGCAAACAATAATAACTCTTGCATAAATCAGCAGCTCAGACAGTCATTAGCCATAATCACAACCCAAACAGCAGCATACTGAACTATATTTTCTCAGGGGATCTAGAAACAATAGATATGGTATTTGGTGTGTGTGTGTGTGTGTGTGTGTGTGTATGTGTGTGTGTGTGTGTGTGTGTGTGTGTGCGTATGTTTCAGAGGTTTTTGTTCACATGTAGCATGTTCAGACTGTTTGTGGATGGAGCTTGGACAGCAGGGTGGAGATGGTGGTTGGGTTGTGCACATGGACGTAGTAGGCAGCAGCTCCTCCGGCCATGAGGGTCAGGCTCAGCTTAATCAGGCGGCCAGTATTTGAGGGCTCTTGCTCCACCAGCTGGAAGAGATGGAACAATACGTTTGCATTTGTATACTGTACTTCATGTTAAAATGATGTGGGGTGTACATATATTTAACATTACACACAAGACTTATAGAGTGTAGAAGAAACAACATTCATTTCAGACCTGTCTGGTTTTTAGGGGCTGGTACATGCGGTCAAACTGGGTGAAGATTGCCCTGCGAGCTCCTTCCCATTTCCCTGGTCCCATCAAGCGGTACTGGTAGGCCGTGACAGGTCCCCACAAAACCCTCTTAAACAGTGCGTAGTCTGTGAAGAAGAGCCAGGGGAGACTTGGGCGCACTCCAACCTCCCCAGCTATGTCATCCATGTAGGAAACAAAGTCCACCTGCAGGGGTGTCAGCTTTGACACGATGTAGCTGTGCAGAGGATAAACCAGAAATTAATGACTCAGTATAGTATGAGTTCAGTATGAATATAAAATGTAGCATTATTCGTCTTTACTCAGGCGTGTTTGCTATCCATGAATAAAATAATTCAATTCAGGACAGAAAAAAGGGACAATATTGGTTGCAAAATTTATGAGGCAACGAATATTGGGAGGTTTACTTTTTGTCAATGTCCTTGGTGTCCTTTTCAACAGCCTTGATCATGGCCTTGTTTGAGGGCAGCTTTTTATGTCCTGAGGAGCAAAACACAAAAGACAGATAGGGGTGAACAGACTGACATGTGCTTGGGAAGTATCTACTCCAGACTAATGGCAGGTGATGAACCGGATATGCAGCCAGTCTCACCTTTGAAAACACGTGCGACCCAGCGGGCCTGCATTTCAGCCTGAGGCATGATGGCTCCAAGAGCATGGATGAAACCCACAACAGCCAGAGTTGGATGCTCCAAGTTGGGGGGGAATACGTGCTTATACATACCCACACGGTGCCCAGACTTGTACAGAGCACTGCTTGGCAGGAAGGGGAAATCGTAGTTGTATCCTGTGGCAAATACAATTGTATCCACCTGTAACAAGGAGGAGAAAAGTTAGTGATAAGCTCAAATTGTGCTTGAAGTGAACAAAGGTTCATGTGGGTATCCTAGAAGACACAATTCTCTGACCTTTTCCACAACACTGCCATCATCAAAGACCACGGTGGAGCCGCGGATCTCCTTCACATTTGGTTTGACAATGACTGACCCACACAGAATCTTTAAAGGCAGGTCGTCGTTGATCACTGGGATCTGACTGAAGAGCCTGATGAGGCAGCGGAAGAAGGTAGATCAGAGGACAAAGGGAGAGATATTCTGATGTCAGGGACAGATGCAGAGTAACTCATACTCCTGCACACATGTGAAAATAGTCAGATTTTATGCAGAGCAGTAACCTGTGTGGTCCTGACAGCACCTACCTGTGTGTGGGTTTGAGGGCGTACATGGTGTGGTCATACATGGCATTGAGTTTCTTCTCACCAAACCAGTTGAGGAAGTTGATCGGCAGCAGCTGGAACAAGATGTGGACAAAGCGTGTGTTGTACTTCATGTCCACTGGCAGGCCGTTGTCAGAAACCTGACGGATAACCCAAGCACCGCGACGAGTGCTCACATACACCTGCGGAACGAGAAGACAAGACAGGACACAACTTGTGTTAATAATCGTGAATCAACGTGTCGTATGAAAAGAAGACAAAAGCAATCAAGAATTACTTCCTCACCTGATCTGCCACTCGGCTGGCCTCCACAGCGATGTCACCACCTGAGTTACCGATGCCAATGACCACCACTCTCTTCCCGTACATGTCTTCAGGCCCCTTGTAGTCCCAGCTGTGGAAGTATTTTCCCTCAAACGTCTCAATTCCTGCAACACAGCACAATTACATTTTCACAAAGTGTGTTACAAGAAGTGAAAAATGATGTGATCCTGCAATAATGTTAAGATTTCAGCATATAATGTAAAAATCTCCCTTTTGTGAGCCTGGTGAGATTTTTGTAAAACGGGGAAGTCTTTACCAGGGAAGTCTTTGAGTGGCAGGTTAGGATAGGTGTAGTGACCGGCGCAGCAGATAACTGCATCAAAGACATGCCGCTCCTCCTGTCCATCTCTGGTCTCAGTCACCACTTCCCACTGACCAGTGCGAGCAAAGTCTGATCTCTGTCTGACGCTCTTCACTGAGGTCTGAGATATACAATTGAGAAGTGATTGAGTGAGTATTAATCTATGGACATAACTAGAAGTGAAACATACGGAATTCCTTTCTGTTCATGTTGATTTTGTTACCTGGAAGCGAATGTGTTCCAGCAGTTTAAAGTGTTCTGCATACATCCTGAAGTATTTCAGGATTTTAGAGTGGTGCATGTAGTTGGGGTAATCAGCAGGGATGGGGAAGTCACTGTAGCACATCATCTCCTTGGAAATGTTGATCGTGAGGGAACGATAGATACTGGCTCTGTTTGGCTCAGACACTTCCTGCAGGGAAGAGGAGGGATAATGATTGGTAAGTTTGACAGCAACTTAATCATGGTCATCCAGTTTTAGATGAAACGACTGGGGCATCGGGGCATGAACACAAAACGGTTGTCAGCTTTTGTTCTTTCTAAATTGGTGACTTGCCTTGAACTTCCACAGTCCGCCCATGTCATCACTGCTTTCGAAGCAGGTTGGCACCATGCCCTCATCCAGACAAGCCTTCATGGCGGTCAGGCCACTGGGGCCGGCCCCGATCACTGCTACTCTTTGCACCATGATGGAACTGCAACAGGAGAAGGATAAAAAAGTGAATTTTACTGATTACATTTAAGTGCATAGTTTCATATGTGCAACTCTCAATCCTGCCCAGCTCAATAATATGACAATGTGCATTCTACTATTTAAAACATATACATGTTGAGTGCAGGCATTGTCTTGCTGTACCTAAAGGCATGTTAATATGTGCTGGAATTTGCACTATATTCAAATCTTGTGCCAAAAAATAAAAGTAAAAAACTTCCTGATCATGCTTCAGTGATAAGAGCTGAGTCTCATTCTCAACTCATTCAAAATTAGACTTTAAACTAGAACAAGGAAGTAGATCAGATATCTTACCATCCTTGCATTGGGCTATAGAATTGCTTTGAAGATTTTACTGATTACATTCAGTATAAAGCCACCAATGGTTTAGCCATTGTTTATGTTATTGAACTCTTATCCCTCGACTAATCTTCCCCTAATCTCAGGTTCTGTCATAAAACGTTCTCAATTCCTAGAAGTAAAAAGAAGAGCAAAGGTGATATTCTTTGAGAGCACTGAAACTTTAGAATCACCGAGTGGATGCAATTTTCTCCAAAGTTATGCATTTAAAAAAAAAAAAAAAACTGCTATAAACAAACTTAATCAATTATAATAACTGTATTTCATCTTCCTTCTTTTCATTCACATTCATGTTGCAGTTTAATAATATGCACAAAAATAAAATATTGCAGATTCACTATACAATGGCATTAAAACTAAAAACACCCTCTGCGGTTACTTATGCCAGCACTACAATTCATTTTCTGTCTTACCTTGATCCTTGCGGGTTGGTCTTGTGTGCCTGTCAAGTGGGACGAGCATCCACAGATCACAGACTTTTATACTGAAACAGTGACTGAAGATGTGCATCATTTTTTCTACTCTTGCCCAAAAAAGGTGATTTAGGCTGTGTTTACCGAAATCCAATGGGTTTGACTTTGACTAAAGTTCAATTGGCTTTTTCTGAGTTAAATCATGTGGGTGGAATTTAATGAGTAACATTTCTGTTATACATGACGTGGGACAGGTTTGCATTTGTTCCCCATTTAATTAAAAATCACAACTACAATCAAATCATTCAGCAAGAACCCCTCAAAGAATATTGAACAGCACATTCAAATCCACTGAACATAACACAGTGTAATCACATGTCCATAAAGGCATATGTATATACATTAACATTTTATATTATATAGCAGGCAAAACTGAGTGCACTACAATGGAGCCGACTTCATGTTTGACAATGTGCAAGAGCAGATGTTGCTGAAGATCTATTAGAGCTGAATAAATAAATCAGTGCATTTTTCTTATTGGTGGTATCAACAGGCGACAGGAAGAATGTGCAAAATCTATTCCCAACACATAAAATATATTCATTGCGATAAACATTTTGTCTTATATTTAAGATTCTTCTCAATATCAACATGTAAAACATAAATCAACTGTAAAAAATCTTTTGGTCACAATGTTCACCGTCCAGCATATTTTTGAGATTTGCCACAGAAGTGTAGTGAAATAAAAAAAAAAAAAAAGGGTGGAAAGCTGACACCTCACTCGTTGGTCGTCTCATCGCTCGCACTGGGAAGATCATTGGTCAGTTATTGCAAAAAGAGGGCACAGCATGTAAGAGGTCAATGAAACGGTCTACGATGGGGCACAAGTGTGTGTCAGGGAACAGCCTGTTATATTACGCTGGTTCATACCAGATATCTGGATCTGGTTTGGACCAACTGGCAGAGGACACGTGAAGTGGCTCACAGTCAAAATCTTTCAGGAAGTGAAGTACAAGATTTGTAAAAACCACACACACACACACACACACACACACACACACACACACACACACACACACACACACACACACACACACACACACACACACACACACACAAGACATTCTTTCTGTCAAAGAAATTGTAAATAGCTGAAATACATTTACAAAGAAACCGAATATTGGCATATCTGACCAAAACCCCCATTATTAGACAAATTAACACAGATCAGCACACTTGGAAATCAGGATGCACCTGCAGATGGACAAGTCCTACTTTCTGGCAGTGCTAAGAAGTGTGGGTGTGTGTGTGTGTGTGTGTGTCAAGTGTGCAATGGCAATGCATGGCATTCAATTCCCAGTCAGTGCGCAGATGTAGTGTAATCATTAAACATGCTGCTTCGTATGTGCACCTCAACACACCCCCTTGAACAGACCAAGTGACATCAACGCTGGAAAGGATACCCCCCCACCCCCCACCCCGGCCTACATATGTGGCTAAACATTAAGACCTGCTCAGTGGGTCAAAGTATCCCTTGCAACAGTTCAACACTGGAACGCTGATCCATTTACAGATTATTGCCTTTTTGAATCTTCAACTGAGAATTAATAGTTAATTGAGAACATTATGGAAGCACATGACAAAGGATTGAAATCTATCCAACCATTACTCCACATAGACACTGACCATGTGATATTACTTTACGTACATTATTTCCATAAAGCTGTCTTGATTATGTTGAATAAAATAGGGCTCAGATTTTTTTTTTTTCTGTGGCCATTCTTGTCGTGTAGTGGGTTACAAAACTTTTCACTACGTTCTGATCCTGATCACTGCTCCATGAACCTTGGCGGCACACCAGGTCATGACATAACAAATTAAAATAGTTGTGACATCCACCCTCATCCATGCTTGATGCAAACATGACACTGACGGGAGATGACGTCCAGAGTTACACATTCTCAGATTTTTTTTTTTTTTTTTTCCCCAAATGTCAATTAATGAATAAACATAGTCCATCCTAGTCTGAGAGATGAGAATCATTGCAATGTCAGTGTCTTTGAGGATGGTTTCACAGTGCACAATGTTTAGCACAGTTGTTTTATGAACAAAATTTCAGGTGATAGAGAAGGTCACATTAGTGGATCCATAGTGGATTACTTTAACATGCCACTTAAACCGTCTAACAAATGTTTTTAATTACTGTCTCTCCACTGATTGCATTCAATGATCATTACCACTGACAAGCCAGTTTGTTTAATATAAAGAAAGAACCATAACGTTATTTTAGCATTTTCTCGGACTGAGATTTAGTGAAGAGAGGTGATGAATGTAATGTGTTATCCTCAGTCAGAGCCAGTGATCAAGTTTGAACTTGCGGTGTAATTGAATACACTTCAGGTATTTAGACATGCTTCCCTTTTTCTGAGCTGTAGGTACACCTCAGCTGCAACGTGTTCCATACCTCACACTCAGAGGTGAGAGGTGTTCAGATGAGAGGCACAAAATTTCATCCAAAGTCAAGTTCATGTGACTTTCATGAAATCAGAGCAAGACCTTGATTGAAAACTGAATTAACAGGCTCACAGCTTGTTTCCAAATGTTCGTATGTATAATGCAGTGATGGACTCGGTTTTGTCCTGAGAAAGAGAACAATTCTATGACAATGTGGTGAATCAGTCATAAGCTAATTAACTCATAACGGTCATTTTGTTGGCAGACCACAGGCCACTATCCTTTTCATAAAACCACAGCTGATGGTCTTTCACTCGATGCGTCCTTTAACTTCAAACAGCAGGTGAACATGACTAAAAACACCTGCCCTATGTATCATAAATTTACAGTCTCCCACCATTTTTTCCTCAGTAAAGCAGCAAATCTGTGGCTCCTTCACCACCAGTCGAGCCAAACTGTGGTCATTTCTCTTCGGTTCAGCAGGTTATGTTTGGTGAATGGATGGCTCATTACTTTACAATGAAGATGTAAAGACGCTACCTCAAGTCCATCCAATATACAGCCTTCCTCCCTTAAATAGACAAATGTGTTGTACAGTGTGTCAGTGCTTTACTAAGACTTCAGACGCAAAACACTATTTGAAATGGTCACTGCCTAGAGAAGAGGACTTCCACACACTTCTTCTGAATTGTTTTGGAAAATGAATATATTTCTATCCTTAGACCATCCTTCATTTTTTAATAAATAAAGGGTTTAACAAGTTGTGTTTTAGTGTTGAAATACTAAAGCAGGTACAAATAACAGGTATGATATGGCAGCAGTGTAGTCCATGGTAGCACTCTGTAAGGGATTTATGTGCATGACCTGATATTAATAATGTGTAATCCATCAAAACTGATTAGTAATTAGTCATACGTGATATATTTTGGTTGATTATTAATGTGACAGTGATAATGTCAAGAAAATAATAACTGACATAAATGGGTGAAATGAATGTTTATGAGGGTTTGGGTGTGGTGGCTGGAGGTGAACAGAAGCATGAACTGCAGAATGGGGAAATCATTGGAAACTGACCTCAATTTAAATATGGCGATAACAGGAGGGGCCTACCAACAGTGTGCATACCTGTGCACAGACAAGGATGTGTGTGATAGAGATCTCTTCTCTAGTCAAAGAACCATCGACCGTCTCTTATATATCAGTGTAAAAGAGAAAAGCTGTGCAAGCGCTCATATTTCCTCCTTCTTCAGTCCTTAATGTTAAGCTAACTGTCCCAGCAGCCCTTGCAGGGTTTGAGGTGAGAGCCACAGCATCTCCACCAGGTTGTACTGCCAATACCCCATCCAGAACCCAAACATCACATCAGTCACGTTGTGCCTGCCCAGCAGCACTCGGCTCAGCCCGACCAGGCCGGCCCACAGCAGGACGAGGACCCTCAGCGGGGCCGCAAGCACGAGGTGAGCCAGCAGGAACCGCCCGCACATGGCGGCACGGGTGGCATGGCCGGAAGGAAAGGAGTAGCGGTCCACAGAAAAGGTGGCGAACATGTCCATACGGTTATGTGCGGGCCGACGCCGGCGCACCACTGCCTTAACAATGGCAACCAGGACCAGATCCAACAGCAAGCCTGGAGGAAAGGAGGAGATGAGGAGGGAGGTGTGTTACCATCTAATATATGAACAGTAATGCAATCACACTAACACAAAGGACATTGGCAAAATGATACGAGGCATTAAGAGATATAAGGAGGGGGTATAATGTAACAGCAACAGTGGTTATCATTGTATCCTTGGTACAGATTTGTGTCACAACTATAAAAACATAGATGACTTTGAAAGAAAAAATGAGGAATGTTTCACTGGATTGATATAGAAAAGAAATCTGAACGAGGCTTCACAGGAAATTTTTGGTACCTGCTCTACCACCTGAGCCGTGACCCCCCCCTTAAAGCCATATACACGCATGTATGGGATTTAAAAGCTCTTTGCTTTGACACCATCTGGTGGTAGTATCAAGGCTGACACTGTGGTAGATGGTAGTCCATGCCATTTCTCATGCATTTCCAGTGGGAAATGTTAATGGGCCTTTTGCACAAAGTAGATTTGGGTGATTTGCCAGTTTTATAAAGTTAATTCACCATGGTGTTGAGTTATCCAATTTCACACTGATCATCTTGAAAAGCCCTTTCTCACTATAGTCAAAAACAGGCATAATTAATAACACTAATAATGGTTACACTCCATTTAGGCGCCTCAGTTCAAGGGACCTGGCATGAGGCATTCACAGCCTTTTCGATTTTAAAATATATGCATGTGAAACTTGCCTTTTTCAAATACTGTACTTGTTGTTTACACCACAATGCAGCAACAAAGATTCAGTCAGTATGATGAAACTGAAAGAAATCTCCTTAAAACAGCAGCACTGATGAAAGGAGCCAATGACGCTGCAAAACAAACACTATCTAAAACTACTTTCGTGCGAGAGATTAAGTAGTCAAGACAGTAGAGGCTGGCATGTTGACAAAATTGACAATTTTTTCCATGAATAACAAGATTTTACAATAGATACATGTGAGCAAGACAGAACAACATATATGATATCTGGAGGGACAACTGCAGTCATATTTAAAAGGGGGAGTATAATGGGACTTTTTATGCTGTGCGACTGCATTGAGCATATGATAAGGTTTGTTTTTTATCAGTTGTTTTATGTTCTCCAGGACTGCAGTACTGAAATATTAATGCAACAGTCAGGTGGCAGTGAGCCAATCGCTGCTGGGAGTCCAATGAAAGATTTTCACCTAAATTAATATGCAACAGTAGATTTTTATTCATTATTGATAAGCACTCTATGGTCAAATAAGTGCTGTTGTTCAAAACTGTGGTTTATACTGTATGCTGATTTATACATTGCCTTTTTAATCTGATTTCCTTTTTCCAGACACCAAAGTTTGACTTTCACGATGCTTACCTGGTTTGCACACTTTAATACCTCTTAAACCAATCCATTATAATGCAGAGGACCAGAGGCTCTACTTACTGTACTGTACCTTCACTGTACTCTTGGAGCCAAGCCTGACTGAAAACAGGAAGGTCCTCCCAAGGGAAGCTCCATTGCTACAAGGGCAATCAACCATCTAATGCCTCATTAAATGCAACCTATATTCCACACATCTTATCAGTCATACAAAAACAGCTGAGGTGGACTGTATCATACAGTACAATTTGATAACAGAGGCAACGTATTGCTTTGTCAGTTTCAGTTTCTGTCAGCAAAGCCTCATATTTGAGAAGGTGAATCTGGTGACTGTTTAATAAATTGCTTTGAACATTTATCCGTTCTAATAATTGTTTTCAATTCATTTTCTGTCAAATTACTAATTACTATAGTTTCAGGCCTAATAAATACAGTCACACACTCCAACAAACTACACAATAGAGTGGCTGGACGTGTTCTTCACAGCTTCTCTAACCTGAGCAACATGCACCTAAAGAGACAGACTTGCATCTACCTCCCTCGTAATCACTCACCTGTGACTTCTGAGTATGTGTCACTGTCATTATCCCACACCAGGGCAAAAACTCAAAATTAGGCAGAACCAATAACAAAGTCCATTGTGGGTTCATATTACTGAGCAAAACAACAAGACCAAGACCAACCAAGATGGAGATATACAAACAACACAAAATTAACACATGTCACACAACTGCTCTTTGGCACACCCTGTTTCATTTGAGTTGGGAACATCCGAACAAAGATAAAATGGAAAATGTTTGGGGACTAAAGGCATGGTGTGCTGGAGAACAGCTGAATAACACAAGACCTCAGATGCTGCTGCATTCTATATTTCACACAATCCAATCTGCACATTAAGGCCCAGTTGCATTGAATCAGAAGCATTCATCGGTTGGCAATGCTGACATGTAGGCTGACTGACACAACTGGAATGAGATATATTGGAGGAAGCCTGGAGAAAACATTCAATAGTTGTTAAAAAAAAAATGGGGAGCGGGAAACTGCAAACGGAGTTGGAGCAAGGCCAGAATGGACAACAAATGACATCAACAGGTGAGCGGCTACCTGCACTGATGGAGGAAAGGTAAAATGGGTCAGAAAATGAACGGAGATGATCATGGGAGGTGGGATCAGTTCTTCTATGGCTGAGATGAGTTCTGACAGCAGAGCCGCGCATGGCAAATCAGGACAAGGTAGGAAAAGGGAGGCTGCGACACAGATACTGCATCTCAGCCCAACTCAGAGGTACCAAGAGACATGTCTGCAAAGACGCCGAGTAAAGCTTTCTGTCACTGTGTTTAAATTCTCTGTGGGAGGGAGACACGGGGAAACAACACATGGAGGAACAATTAGCAGAGTTGTTGTTTTACCCATTAAAAGGTTGAGCATGACTTCTTGTCCTGCAGCACTGTCACTCTTGTACATACAGTAGGCGGTGCCAGCCAGCCAGGGGATGCCATGTCCCGATATCTCTATCAGTTTCATTAACGGGCGCACACTTCCCCAGGACGAGTCCTCGCAGGCACACACCCCCAGCCGCTTGGACAGCCACAGGTCGATGGCGAGCAGGGAGCTGAGTGCTACGCGGATGAAGGACGGGTTGAGCCGTATACCGTCCTCTTCTGGCAGCCCCTGACCGCTTCCCGAGCCCGTGGAGGAACTGGAGCCCCGGCGCCGAGTGGGGCTCTCCGAGGCTCGAAGCCGGGCTGTGGTCGGGTCGGAGCCCTGCCGCTGGAGGAGGTGCGGCGGTGAGGACCGGTTCAGCGGCTTCGTCAGTGACATGAACTCGTAACGGCCGTTAGAGCTGCCGAGCACCGGACTTCCTCCGCTGCGACCGGGGTTTTTAGCTTTGGGAGAAGGCATTTTATCCGTCAGTCTAGATTCACTGTGATGTAGTTACACCGCAGTGGTAAATTTTCTGCAGTGCTGTGTCGGTTGTCACTCCTTTAGCTCATCTGTTGTACGTCTCACAATTCATATCACGTCTACGAACACCGAGCTGAATCGCCATCTTTGTTGTTCTAATCGCAAAGCAACCTGGGAAATTGTGTTTTACTAGAAATGTACACGTGACGATTTTCCTCTTGGCTATCACTCCATGTATGAAAGATTCCGCACCAACCTAACCCTAGACTGTGTATAAACGGCATTGCAAAGAGACACAAAACATAATTTATTGTTGCTTCATTTTGTGTCTCTTTGTAGTCAAGGTGCACCTCTTTGTTGTTGCTTGGTGACTTTCTAATAAGAAATGTTTATTGTCTCTTCATACAGAGGCTCTGCTCCAGGGGCCTGTTCTATAATCCATCTGAAGGGGACAGAGTATCTGTGTATGACTCAAAATAAACTATAATACACATGTTGATAATAACCAGTGTTGGGGAGTAGTGACAACATCATCATGGATAAACCTGAATCTCAGCCTGAGGAAGAGTTAAGGAGTTATTGTATACAAAACCAAAGCTTACATTCCTTGTTCTTTCCCATTAATAGTGGGATATTTTAGGTTTGTGGTTTATGTTATGACCTGTCATGACTTTTTATGAAAAAGTAGGCACTTTTTGCAATAAACTGGCATGTGACCTTTTTAACGAGGAGGTGGCTGAACAGAAGCGCTGGGTTTTCAGCTACTGTTAAATATTTACTGTTTCTGGCTGTACACTACTTTTCATGATGCAATGTGGGATAGGCTACTATGAGTCCACTATATAGGGTATAATAATTCTAACTATACAATTTGACAGCACTACAAAATGGCAAATTTACTATATAGTGGACTATATAGGGAGGAGTGAGTGCTTTCATGCACAGCTCTGTTCTCCTGCTGCTCTCTGCCCAGCAGTCATGTGACCCCACTTGGAGAAGTATGCATCATTATTTAAGTAAAAATAAAAAAAAAATGCCCAAAGTAACAGATTAAGTAACCTAAATCAAATTAAGAAGTTAATGAATAGCTACATGCATCGCATTGCTAATGAAGAACGAGATCACAAACGTCAACATACATTTGCACTTAGCACAAGTAGAACGTGAACAACTGCAGAATAATTATACTGACCGTAAAGATCACTTTCACTTCTTCAATTTCTAGTAAATAAATCCGAGTTTCATGTTGAACTTTAAACTGCCTATAATTCTGGCTGTAAAACCGGTAAAAACCAAAAAACTTAAGAAATTTGTTCTTTTCAGAGACACTGTGGACAAGATTGTTGATGTTTTTTTCATGTTTAAAATGTCATAAATGTAATTATTAGTTTCTATAAATGTAGACCTATGTATTTACATGCATTTGTTTGTACATATAATAGTGCCTTTTAAAAATAAATATCTGCAACTATGTTTGTTTAATAAAGTTGCTAAAAGATTTATTTTGTATCGTTTCGTATCTTTTCTCTGGTTGGTCGATGAGCTACGTGACGGAAGTTGGTCCCTCCCTATCCGGGTCCATTCATGTGTTGATGATCACTGATCACCCCTGGACAGACAGGCGAGCTGTCCGTCTTCTTTCCTCTTGTATCTGAGCAGCAGAGAAGCGACCATGCCTGGACTTCTGCTTGGAGACGAGTTCCCCAACTTCGAGGCCGACACCACCATCGGCAGGATCAAGTTCCACGACTTCCTGGGCAGCTCGTAAGTGCGCAGGCTCCACGTGCAGGCATTGTATTGTTACTGATTTGTTTCATTCTGAGTCTCGGGAAAACGCTTGAAACTGTGCAATGTTGTATTTGAGCCGCGTTAGGAGGTTGTGTTCAGGCCTGTTGTCAGACCGAGGAGCTGGCACTTCCCTGATCACAGTAAGGATTCATTTTGAACTCAAAAGCCAAGACGTGATCTTGAGCTCAATCTGCCTACAGAGGTATTTAGCCGTGACAATGGGGGACACCTGCTGGCTGTTACACAAGCATGACTCTGTTGGATTAGGTAAGGATAATGACTTACAGAATTGGAAAGTTTGACCAAACTTATGACTAGTACTATAAATGTGTTATATTATCCTTAGTATTATAACACACATACGTCTACAATTGTACTTCTTCAAGCTATAGAAAACTTTTATTTGTGTTTTTCGATTAGCTAAGACAACATGGACCTGTTTTAGCTGCAGAAAGCTTTTTTTTTGTTATCACTTTGTCTATGTGTAATTCAGTGTGAAACAACCGATGGAGTGTTTTTGTTTTGGCAGGCCAGTTCATTAGTGAGGTGTAAGCACAGTCAGAACAAGGCCTGCATTGTGTGTGAACTTGAAACTGTGCCTCACTGCACGCATCTGCTCTGATGTGAGACCCTGTTAGCCTCGGCCTCTTTTTTTTTATCAGAGAGAAAGTGAGTGAAAAAGTGCCTGGTTTGGACAATGTGTACTTTGTTGTATTATTTTCCAAAAACTTTCATATTTATTAATTATTAAATTAAATTAAATTAAATTAAATAATGTTTGGTTTTTAAATGTGACCCTGCTGACAAAACATTTGAAGATGTCAAGCTTTGACATTTTTCACATTTTACTGACATTTTTTAGACCAAATATATTTTATGTTTATTGAAAAAAATACTTGATTGATTAATCAGTAATGGATATAATTGTTAGTTGCAGCCTTACTACCACCATTTCAGTTCAAAAATACTCTTTGAGGATTTTTTCCCTTTATTTCCTTGTCCTGACAATGAGTCAGCAGATATGGTGTTATAACATGGGACTGGCCCTAGTTTCCAAACAGACATACTCTAGCATGCTGAAACTTGACTGCTTAAATTTTGAATAAACAAATATTAAATTATTCATTCCTCAGTGGGAATAGATGTTGGCCTGTGAGAGGCGACCATCTGTTGAAACGGTGTCCTAGTTTTCTATCTTTTCATAGTGCTACAACCAAACAATCCCTGCGAAGCAAAAGGAGCACTTTCTACAGCCACTGTTGAAGCCTACCAGTGGTGCTCATTTAATGTGTAAAACCAGATATTTGGTCACATTGCATCACTTAGAATCACTGGTCTCAGAAGCCAATGTGGACTACGTGTGGACTATGGACAAAAACAAAAACATATTTCTTGTAATACTTAAAACGACACCAGCTCCCAGCATTCCAGCCTGTTCCACTTGAGCAAATGCTTGATCGAGTCCCAGTCTAATCAGGGCTTCTGGTCACCCCATAATCAGGTGATCACAAAGCCTGTTAGGAGTAGCTTTTCTGTTGCTTCTATCCCCATGTGACGCTACATTGCAACACACTGAAGAGAATCATATGAGGAAGAACATTTGTGTGTTTTGAGGCTAATCATCCAGTAAAATTGCAACAACAAAAAAGTGTCGCACGCTCAGTGCTGTTTTTGCAGGAAGACTCATGTCTGTGTTTCCCTTCCCCTCCCTCTCCTTGTGAAACACACTGTCCATCCACAGTGCAACACAGCTGGATTTTAAGTCTTGCAGATTATTCACAGACTCCCGTTGCTGCAATATGTGGCTGGAATTTCCTCTAAGGAGACAAAATGTTCTCCATCTTCTCTTTTTTTTCCTTTTTTTTTTTTTTTAGCCATTTCCTCCTGTTGTCTCAACTCCCACTTCTTCAACTCCCAAGTCTTTTTGACTCTTTAAATCCTACTAACCTAAACTAATGAGAAATATGTGTGTGTCAATTCATAAATGCAGAAAACAGAAAACTTCGAACAAATGCAAACATTAAATACCTCAAATGAGCTATGTAAAGTGCATTAAAGGCACAGAGAAGTAGAAGCTTGGGAAGTTTTGTCTTTTGTTTTGTCTTTGTCTTGACCTTTCGTCTACCTCATATTGTGTGTGGTTACTTAAACTTGTGTCTCGAAGGACATAACATGGCCAGTCCATAAAAATCTAAGCTTTGTTCAAGGTCAATCAAGAGGAATACATGAGTGTAGCTGGATGACAATATCCTTATTTGCTATTTTCCTAATGCAGTTTTCCACAATGAAGTTTCTGAGCCAGAAAATGATGAGTGGAAAAAGATAGCTTATTGTTGCGTGGATCTTTTCTTCTGCAGGTGGGGTGTCCTGTTCTCCCACCCAAGAGATTTCACTCCTGTCTGCACCACTGAGTTGGCCTGCGCCGCTAAGATCAGTGATGAGTTCAAGAAACGAGGTGTGAAGATGATTGCTCTGTCCATTGACAGTGTTGAAGATCACCGCAACTGGAGCAAGGTTGGACACACACACACGCACATGCACACAGACATACACACACATACATACTCTGTACCGCTACCTCTGTTTAATTGTGGTGTGTCGGAGGTCAAAGGAGAACTTTGTTGAACAGGTTAGGTTACGGTGGTTGGAGTGACACTTAATTATGGTAATGAACACTCATATACTGTACTTATATTACATAACATTGACATTTAAAGCTTGCAGGTGTTTTACTATCCAGAAACATTGACAACAGTGGTTATTATCCTCTAACTGCACCTGTTAATCTCTTGTGGACAGGGTCCTTGTTTTACGTACATGCTTGCTTTCCTGTTAATCTGAATTGATTTACAGTAAATGCGGCTGCTGCTGCTGTGATGTGCTTCACCCTGTCAGTGTTTTGGAAAAAGGAACAATAGTGAACTTTTAAAACCTGATTTTGATGGCGGGTGAATGAAATCAGCCCACCAGCAAATCAAAACAATCCAGTAACACCGGTGACGACAGTTTGCACAGCTATCCACTACTGTGTTAGTTGTGCTGATAAACTTCAAGCAAAAATGCTCCTCAGACCCAAATCAGTTCGACTGTTCAGTGTAGTGTACATTAAATATCACCAATCCCTCAATTTAACTTTCATTTGATTAATATAACCACAACATTTTATTAGATTTAATATTTCCAAAATTAAATGATGTTATATTGAAATATTATTTAAATTGCATTTAATAGTTTTATTAAATATAATAAAAATTTAATTAAAAAACGTTTTTAGTTTAATTTAATTTCATGAAATTAGATTTTTTTTTTAAATTTTAGTTTAATTTATAATTTCTTTTACTTCAATTTAATTCAAATTTCATTTGAATTAAATTAAATTCCATTTTTAAATTTTCATTTCATTTATAGTTTATTTATTTTTTAATCATGCAGTCTATTTAGCCTAATCTAGTTTTGTTTATATTCAGGCTGTTATGTATTGATGAATATTTTATTTCACATTCAGTGACACAGACCACTCAGCTGTCAGTCAATCATGTAGACAGAGTGAGTAAGTGAATTCAGACAGAGGATCCATAGCAACAGGGTCAGCCCTTCCTCTTACTTTAGTTCAGGAGTTCTCTCGGTTCCTCTGTGAAAGTGGCTCTCAGCTACTTTCTGAACAGGTCTTAAGAGGAAACTCTTATTTAGAAACTTGTAGCTAAATGGTGCTGTCTTACTCCTGATGATAGGATAAGACACTTTGCCAATACACAATCTGATGTTTATAACCCTGCAGATTTATGGATTTAAACTCTGTCAGGATCATTTTAAAACTTGGCTCTCGCTTGCCTCCAAATCCATTTCCCCTCGAAACAGAGGGGATTCACTGTGATTGTCTTTTAACTGCTACATTACAACAACGCCTGCTCAGAAAGCCCAGTGATTGGTCCGAGTTCACTGGACAACTGTCACTTAGATGAACTGGTTTTGAACATTAGTGCCACCTGCCTCCCTGCCAATAACATAGAAATGTACATGCTTTCTGTTTTCTCTCACTTTCCTCCCAGATTATTTTTAATATCTGTGAGGTGGCAGAACAGTCATAGTGTCTGAGCATGTAGGTTATGGCCCTCGTGGTGACTGTACTGTTACACTGTAACACTGTTACTGTTTATGGCTCATGAAAGAGTTAAGGATTCAAACCTCATCAAACCTGTGGTGCCAGGCTGGAGAGAATAATTAACTGACATAACCACCAAGCAAAGGTGTAAAAGATGAAATTATATGTCTCTTCTCTTTGTGTAGGATGTGATGGCATTTAACAATGAGGCTGACAGCACCCTGCCCTTCCCCATCATCGCTGATGACAAGAGAGAGCTGGCCGTCCAGCTGGGCATGCTGGACCCTGATGAGAGAGACAAGGATGGACTCCCCCTCACTGCTCGCTGTGTAAGAAACCTGTCCTCCAGTCCTCCTTTCCTCCCTTCCATCAGTGTAAAAACAAAGGCCAAAAGACAAGATGATATCGAACTTACTCTCCTGTGAAAGGCTTAAATAAACTGACTCAGCCTTCTTTGTAGCTTTCCATTTTTGTAAATAAACTGGATTTGATGACATGCTGTACTAAAAAATATATTAATTCACTTGGTTAGTGAAACTTTATCTTTTATTTTATTTTTTTGTGGACATATTTATTACTAGAGTAAAAAAAGAAGTATATCCTGGATGTTATGTAAAACCTTTGTGATCTCACTTCAGGTCTTTGTGATCGGCCCCGACAAGAAGCTGAAGCTGTCCATCCTCTACCCCGCCACCACAGGGAGGAACTTTGATGAACTGCTCAGAGTTATCGACTCTCTGCAGCTCACCGCACAGAAGAAGGTTGCCACACCGGTCGACTGGAAGGTACATCGTTCAACTTTTATATTCATATCAGTCAACAGCCTGGGTGATAATAGAAAACCATAATGGATTCATAGTCCTCTTTGCCAGTTACGTTAACTGTGCGCTCATCAAGCACAAACATTATTTGAGCTCTTATTAAGAACTACACTAAGAAAGACTTTTTTTTTTCCACTTGCTATTTTCAATCGTTTTATGGTGGCTGACTAATTGTTGGCCTGGTGAAGTGAAGTGAACTGTGTCCTTGCTCCAGCTTCTCATTTAACAGGCAGATATGAGAGTCTTCTAACCCTCAGCTAGAAAGCAAATATGAGCATCACCCAAAATGTAAAAGTACTCCTTAAAATTTCTGCTGTTACTCTAGCCCTTCATTTCCTCTTTTCTCTTCTCTTCTCTGCCTGTCTCTCTCCTTCAAACATTTTAGCATTGTTGGATAAAATGAAAACGGTTGAAGTCAACACTGACTATCTCCAATTTAAATGTGCTCAGATACACTATAGTATAGACGCAGTCAAGTTTCAACATGACAGTTGCAGACTCCCACATCCCTCTGCGGAACTGGTTGCCTCTATGAAACAATTAAAAAAAAAAATAAAATAAAAACGTACCTTATGTTGCATTCATTTAGCAGATACTTCTGTGCATAGCAACTGCCAACAAGTGCATCCAATCTCCATAGGAGTTAAATAGAAAATTATAAGGGCATCGCTTCCAGACAAACAGTTAAAGTATGTAGGTGACCTCATTTTGAGTGGGAACACTGAAGAAAATGACTGAAAGCCACATGACGCAGGAGCCACATGAGACCGCAGCGTGAGTATCAGCATGTGAAGGCTAGACGCTAAAACCAGACTCCTGTCTCTTTCAGCCTGGCGACAAAGTCATGGTCATTCCCACACTCTCTGAGGCGGAAGCTGCTGCTCTCTTCCCCAACGGTGTGACAACCAAAGAGGTACCGTCTGGGAAGAAATACTTGCGCTACACCCAGCTCTGAAGACACACTAAGGACTTCATCCTGTTCTACTTTACTGCGCTTTGACCCAGAAGTCCTTTGATAATTCACGTTAGAGAACTGACCAGAATCATAGATTGCACTTTCCAGGTTTGGTGACGAGTGTTTTCAGTCATGCCGCGTGCACAGCAACAAACCAGGGATAATTATAGTGTCAATGTACAGTGCCTTTATCCCCCATCAATAAACACCCTCTTAACACATGTTCTTTGAGCTTTTTCACACTGATTCCACTTTGGGACAACAGAGTTTTTAGGAGGTTTAGTAACAGTTGCCTCTGCAATGACTTGATGTGCCACTAGGTGTCCCTCTGTAACCTAAAATAAAAACACCACCATGCTGCAGTACCACCATGTATCAATAGGCGGCAGTATATGCATAATGATTGATGCAGCGATACTGACAGCCACAAGGCTGAAAGCACCAACCTGCCCTCAACAATTGCAGTGACGGGGAGTGGTACCACATGAACCTAAATGACTAGTTTATTTACCTTTTCTGTGAATTAAATAGCAGGCTGGCCACATTAAATTGATATCTACTTTCTGCCATATTGTTAGATTTCTCAGTCTAAACAGAAAGCTCTTAAACTTTCCCCTTCTACTTTTCTACTTTTCATTTTGCCAACTCAGCATTACAGGCTAATGCCCTGGCTGCCTAAATGTTTTTAATGTACCATGGATTAAAGCTTTTAAACTGATAGCCCTGTTTGTTCTATGATCAGTGTCAAGGCTTTTTAAATTCCAGTATAAAGATGAAACGGAGGCTGATGAGCAGTGGTCCTTTTACTCAAGTACTGTACATAAGTACAATTTTAAGGTACTTATGTTTTATTTGACTATATCCATATTGATTTTACTTTATACTTCTACTACTTCTCACTACTTTTCTGAGGTGAATATTGTACTTTTTACACTACATTTAATCAACAGCTATACTTACAGGTATAGTTATTTTGAATTGTAAACTTATTAGAATAAAGCAGTGTCTAGTTGTGGCTCCTGGTCACGTATCTGATGTTTTTAGCAGTTCCTCCAAAGCGACGTTTACCGTCTAAGCTCCTCATTTCACTTCAATAACTGTTTGAGGCCCACATGGTTAAAAGGATCCATCATCACTAAAAAAGCAAAGATCAGAGAAAGGTCAGAGAATTTTGTGTAGTCGTACTTTTTTTTTTTTCTTTCTTTCCTCTCCCGTTAATCATCTCACAACCTCTCAGATTTATCCTGTGGCCCTATGGAAAGGGCCCAATCCCTTGGTAGGGAAGCACTGGGCATAACTAGCTAACTAACTAATGTCTAATAATGTCATATATGATTATATATCAGTCACAGGGAACATTGATTTTGTACTTAAGTACATTTTGCTTATAATACTAATGTACTTTTTTACTAAAGTGTAAATTTGAATGCAGAACTTTCACTTGTAGTTGAGTATTTTTAACATTGTTGTATTGGTAGTAAAGTAAAGGACCTGAGTACTTTGTTCACCAGTGAAGTTTTTTTATTCTGAGGGCGTTAGTGAGTTTAAATAATGCATTAGGGTTTAATTGAACAAACAGCACAGGCTATAACACAGATTTCATAATGTCAAGCCTGCATTTTTGAGAATAAATTTATCTTTACGTGTATATAGATTTACCTTTTTTTTAAATCTACAAAGCATCACAACACCTGTGTATTTCAGAGACGGATGAAAGCCTGAACTAATGTTCATTATGAGAGCAAGATGAGTTGATTAACTCATCTCAGCAGGTTGACCTCGACTGTAGACGTGACACTGAAGCCAGGCGTGAGGTTTAGGTTTCCCCTTTGAGTTATTCAACCCTCAAAACTGCGTGGCTGAGAATCGTATGAGTTACTTTAAGTAGTGTGAAGGTGAACACTGATCTCACGCACACATGCATACACACACACTCTGGCCTTTGCATTCACTGTGTGGCTGAGGAATGCTGAGGTCAAAGAGAAGAGAAGGGATTTCATTTGGAGGGAGGCATAGTGTGTGCAGGGCCAGATAAAATATCTCTGGGCCCTCCTCCTTCTCGCTCCTGTCATACACACAATGTGAACTGGAATGTTCTTCTTCTTTTCTTTTTAATCAGTTGCTCACTTAACAGTATCAGCCCATAAAAGTAATAAAAGTCACTCCACACGATGGCAGAGTCTCTTTCTGTGTAGAGATTGGATCAAATTTGCTCATTGTGCAGCAGAAAAAAAAACAGTATTCACCTTGACAAAAATGCTGGATTGTCAAATGTGTGATGAAAGTACACGTATTCATCAGGCAACCCTTGCCCTCTACCTCCTCCGTCTGTTCTCCCTTTCCCTTCTCTGGTGGCTGTTTTGTCCCCAGGAGTCATCCAAACTATCACCCACAGAGACGCACCGTACTGATCAAATGCATTTCTCAAATTCCAGACGACAATAGCCCGTGCCAGAGCATGAGAAGCGCTTTGGGTGTCAGACACTGGCTTAATTGCCCAGTACTAACCCACCCCCAACCCCACCCCCACCCCTTTCTCCCCCACCCTCCCTCACTTCTTGGCTACCGAGCCAACTCACCCCACCTTGCCTCAGCAACACTAGCACATGTAATACAACACCAGTCAGGGCCACGTCTCACAGGGCAAAACACAAACACAATACCAGCTGCTGGTCTCTCTCTCTCTCTCCCTCCCTCTCTCTCTCTTTCTCTTTCTCTCTCTCTCTCTCTCTCTTCTTCTCTCTCTCTCTCTCTCTCTCTCTCTCTCTCTCTCTCTCTCTCTCTCTCTCTCTTTTTCTCTTTCTCTTTATGGTGAATACACACACATTTTACTGCTGATCAAAGCACAGCTCTGAGAGGAGTGGCCTTGTCTTATCTCAGAGAAGATGTTTTCCTCCCAGACGGACCAGGCTCCAGTTTTCCTAAGAAACAATAACTGGGAAAGGATACACGGCAGCTAAACAAGCTCTATGTCTGCCGCTGCTACAGTAACATTCATCTTACTGTCAGGATTCAGAGACTTAAAGGAATAGTTTGATATTTGGGGAAATACAGTAGAGCGTAAAAGTCTGGGAGCACTTATCCAGTGGGAAAGTGTTTTCAGACTGTGTGCTTTCTTGCAAAGAGTTGGACGTGTAGATTGATACCAATCTCATACATGTACGTTCAATATGAAGCTACGGCCAGCAGCTGCTTAGCTGAGCATAAAGAATGTAAATATGGGGAAACAAACAAGCCTAGCTCTGTCAGAAGGAAAAGAAATCTCACCAACACCTCTAAAGTGCACCAATTAACATGTTATATGTTGCTTGTTTAATTTGACACTTTGTGGTTTGGCACAGGAACCATGGTGACGACAAAACCCAGGAAGTCCCCGTGCCCAGCCAAGAAGTAGTCTAGCACATAACCTGCTGTGAAAGCGAAAATGCTTATTTTTACACTTATGTTTTGTACAGATTAAGCAAATAAGATATAAACTGCTAATGACTGAGCTTTCGAGGTTCTAGTAAATTTCGTGATGTTTAGACAGAGCCAGGCTAGCTGTTTCCCCCTCATTCCAGTGTTTGTGCTGAGCTAAACTAACGGGCTGAGTAGCTGTATATTTAACACACACACATATGAGAGTGGTATCAATCTCATCAAATAAGCATATTTCCTAAAATGCCAAATTATCCCTTTAAAAAGGTGTTCATAGAGAGGTAACAGCATGAAAACACCAGCTCGCTGTGGAAGAGGTCATTATTCCCATGCAGCGTGGCAGGCATTGACTTCCTCACCTGAAGCTGCCCGTGACCTGCAGGTTAACAAGCCAGAGACCAGAGGAGCTACACAACAACCTACATGCGCATGTACCCGTGCAGATGCCGAGCTATGGCTTGATGCTTTCCAGACGCGCTCTGTCTCTCTCCCTCCTACATTGCCTGGCACTCTCGCCTGCCCCCCTTCTCCACATCTCCCACACACTTGAGCACACAAATGCACACTGGCACCTCCCCCATCTCACCTAACCCCGCTTATCAAAATTTTTTGCTTCTTCAACTTCCCTTTCCCATGCAGAGAAAAAACAGTCAAGTCTATTTGTTTCTCCTGCATTCATGGTGCTGTTTAATCTTCCTTATGAGCGGTTCTAAAAACCTGTAGGCATTTTTGTGTACCAACTTACCAAGTCTGTCTGACAGAAGATAAAGTTACTGATAGATAGTAAGACAGATGAACAGATTGAAGGTCAGACAGACACATGTGTGTTGACCTTAGGATTTGGCTGAACTTTAAGGAGCATTAACCGCCTCACAGTCGACACTCACCCTTGAGCTTTCCTCACTCCAACTCAAGCCTTTCAACAGACACACACACACACACACACGCCTGCACACACAGAGGTGAAGACATTATGATAAAAGTGATGAAAGTGTATGATCCGAGTGCCTAGATAAATGCCATTGTTTTGATGGCACATCGTAAATACAGCATCCAGACAGGCTATTACTGCAGAGCAGGTTAGAGTCAGTTAGTGCTCTGTATGAGCAGGGTGATAGATGAGAAGGTAAAAGTGCAATCACTCTCTTTGCTTATCTTTATCTCTCTCTATCAATATCGCTGTCTTTTTTTGTGCTTTTTGCTCCCCCCATTCTGTCTATTAGAGACACATTGATCACCAGCCACTGGCATATCACCTGAGTAATGGCTAAGGGTGTCTGGGCTTTAAAACAAGCCCAGTACAGCGCCAAGAGCTTTATCACAGCGACAAGGCAAATGGGTGCTCGCATAATAAAGTGCACCTCTCTCTTTCTCTATCTGTGTGTGTGTGTGTGTGTGTGTGCACGCACGCATGCACGCACGCACGCACGCACGCACAATCATAACACAAGGGTCTTTGCCATTAAGAGGAGACATCAAACACAACCCAATAGGAATCACAGACCACCAGCCAGGCCACAAAATGCAGCACTACTACATCCATTTAAGACATTAATAATGTTTTCAGCATGTGTGCATGTGTGTTCAAAGTTCCTTAAAACACACTCCCAGTGCACTCTGTAGTTTTACTTCATCTGCCACAGTAAAGCTTTACTCTACTGTAGATTTAAAAGAATAGTTTGACATTTTGGGAAATATACTTATTTGCTTTCTTGCTGGGAGTTATGTTAGACCATTGATGCCACTTTTACCTCCATTAAATACGCAGTCAGTTATCTTGGCTGGAAACACCTAGCCTTCCTCACTAAATCCCATTAATGTTAAATAAATGCTTGTTTGTTTTGAGTGGATTAAACAAATGAGATATAACTCTGATAATTTTAATAATAAAATTAAATCATTACTAAGTTTTAGAGGTGCTGGTACGCAGATTTTTTACCTTTGGAGAGAGATAGGCTAGCTGTGTCTTTGCTGTAGTCTTTGTGCTAAGCTAAGCTAACCCTCTCCTGGCTGTAGCTTCATATTTAGCATACAGACATGAGACTTGTATCAGTCTTTTTTATCTAACTCCCAGCAAGTAAGCAAATAAGGACTACGAACTATAAACAATTTCTTTAAGGTTAGAAAAATCATGCATGATTTTCTACCCATTTCCCCAAAATAGCCGTAGTAGTATCTCTGGAAACTGCAGGATCTCCACTATGTAGCATTTAGAATAAATTTTTGTTGGTTTGAACCAGGCTTAGCTCCACATCATGAGTTTGAACCAGTTATGAGATTTACAAGGTTAACGTTTAAGCATT